TTTTTGGTCGAAGAAATGACTCCCAGATAGCCACATATTCATCCACATGGTCATCCTCATCAGACGAAGGATATGGTCGAATGAACCATTCTGGGCCAACCTTTCTACTAGCAAAGGGAGCCATGGTCGAAACAAATTCCTTTCGCTTTGCAAACATCATTATAAAGCTGGTAAACGCTTTTTGGAATTGTTGACCTTCGTCAGTTGGAGTCAACATGACTAATCTAGTCCCTTCGACCCTTCTGTTCAGGACCTCTGAGGCCTTCTCATTAATCTTATTCTTATGTGGAAGAAAAGATTCAAAAGTGGAATTTAGCCAAAGTTGCAGAAGCCAAAAGGGGTATGAAAGGAGTAAACTCACCTTGTCTCCAATAACTTTAAGTTGAGTCACACCATTGTTGATGGACTCATACAGGTTGGCTAAAATCAACTCAGCCAGACAAAGAGGATAGCCATGGTGAAGCTGTGTTGCAAGAGTAAGCATTTTCTTAGTCACTTGAAGTGACTTAGTGCAAAAAATGAAACGAGATAACCACAACGCCAGAAAAGCTATATGTTCCACTTCAGAGACAATGGTACTCGATTTGTCGTGGAAATGATTGATGAATATAGTATACGTGGGCTTCGTGGCTGAAAACCCGATAGAATCTTCAGACATATCCTCAAGGTTGAAGTAGTCACCTGTTGGTCGAAGACCAGTAATGGCGGCTATATCGAAGAGCGTTGGGGTTACCATTCCATAAGGCAAATGGAAGGTAAAATGTGTGTTGTCCCAGAAATACAATGAAGACACCAACATGAGAGGGCAATAAGTTAACCTAGTCTTTGACAGCATGATCAAGTCATAGATCCCCATATCTTTCCAGATTTGGGCTTGTACTCTTTCCATCTTACTCAGCCATTCTGAGTATTCTAAAGTAAGACTAGGGCAAGATTGAAAGATCCTATTTCCTTTGTTCATGAACTGAAGGTTAATATCTTCCTTCGTTTGAGAATGTTGCTGGTTGGCAGGAGTTGCATCTTCAGGATCATTCTTGAGTTTTTTCGCACAACCTATAGGCTTGAGCATAGGGTGAGTTGGGAAGAAGTTGTTATTTTGTTTTGGGGTTCTCAAAACATGTAGATAATGGGCCAGACATGCCATACATCTGCCCAAAATACCTAACAGGTATAAGCAACTGGGATTCATAAGCCTCACACCACTCTTTGGCCATGGGTTCAGATACAACCCTTCATTCCCCAGTCGAAACAGGTATAGGGTTAGTGGAGAAAACCTCTGGTTGTCTTTGTAGATCAGAAACGTTCTTAGTTTTTGGGTTGTAGGGTGCATTGGAAAGGAAAGACATGGTTGAAAGTAGCGAAAGAACGAAGAAGAATGAATTTGTTAAGACTTTTTCTTTGCAAGGAAGTGAAGAATACTAGGAGTTTCAAAAGAATTCCAAAGAGAGGATTCGTCTATTTATAGTGTTCAGGAAAGAGTGTTTTCCCTCAAGGCCATTTAATGCTGCAGAGTTAGTGGGGAACATGGCGAGCGTTAAAGCAGTTATCATACGACTAATGAAAATGTTTGCCATACTTTCCTAGGTTGTAGGGATAATGGCCATCATGGCAGCGTGGTAACAGCTGATTGACAGCGATGTGTTAGGAAAAAGTTAATGATGACTCTGAATACCAGCAGTGGTTGGTAGAAGGCGAAAAGCACACAAGTGATTTATATGGTCAAAGAGAAAACAAGTGTCGAATGGGAATCTCAAAGAATGATCATTTCTCCTTGCGTCGAAACTGATATTCTTGGGGGGAAATTTATTAGCTCCTAAATTCGACACCTACAACAAGTTAGTCTTATGGGCCAAAAATAGATTGAACAAGTCTAAGTTGGAAAGGCCTCGACAGAATGGAAAAACACTTGGAGAAATTTCTAAGTTAAAATGCATCTTCGACCAGAAGGTTCTCAATCCCTTCGACTGAAAGGACTCCAGGGTCTTCGACCAGAAGGAAACTTCGTATCTGCACCAAAAGATTTTGAATCTGAAGAAAGGAGGGAAAAGCAGTTCGCTTTCCAGTTAAGGGAAGCAACATGGCGTGAAGAGAGGGGTCGAAGCGCATGCATAAGACACTTTTCTTCATCCTAGAGCAAGGTAACTCCTCGACGGTTACCTAGTTTGAGTATAAATATAGGAAGTTTATATATATTTCCGTGTGTTCAAGTGATCATACAAATTATTCAAGTACCCGCTGCATGAGAAAGAATACTGAAAATGTACGTTTGAAACACCATATTTTATAATCGAAGTCTTTTATTTCTCTCTTTACATTTCTTGCCTTTTTATCTTGTTTGCACTTTATCTGCACTTTTACCCAGACTCCTGCACTTAAACTCTTCTCAACCCCTTTTCTATTTACTTTCTGCACTCAAACTCATCCATTTCCTAGTCGAACGTGCGTTCTTCACTCACATTAGCATTTATGTCCAAACAACACCAAGAATTAGCTATGTCCTAGGATCAAACTGATCGATCCTGCGAGTAACCAAAAATTTACCCTTTTTTGGAAGATCAGCGATTGTTTACCAGAAAACACGATGAACACACTCATTCAAACCAGAATAAGTGACAACCAGTAGAAGCACTAGACTATCATAGCATACAATCAGCAGTAGTAGCCATCTTACAATCATTAGAGTTAAGCACCAGCAACAGTAGCATAAATTAGTAGTATCAAAGATTCAGATGCTTACAAACAATCCATTCAGTCGCTCTAAACCAAACAAATAATCAATCATGAAATCATTCACAGACTTAGTCGTGCATGTACCTAATCAACATATAGTTAGTAGCATACAATCCTACCAACATACAATTATCAACATGTAACTATTAACATACTTAGTAATGCATAACACAGATAGTTAGTGGTTAGTACCATAATATGCATAAAACTACTATTACAAAAGTTAACTCCAAAAGGACCATATGTCTTTCCCGATACTCTAGCATGTGAGTATATCACTAGTACTTACGAAATAGTTAGTTCTTAAAAAATTACATGTTAGTCAGTTTATTAACAAAGATCACACCACACTACTACTCCCCATTTTTCCATAATTTGGCAAAGGGTCAGCTCTTCAAAAATAGAAGTCAGAGGCTAGTCATGCATAGGTTAGTGTGCTAGTACGTACACAACTAGATCATGAGTAGAACAACTAGAACAACATCAAATATGCACAAGAATAAGATTAATATTGTATAATTGTTGTAACACGGTGGGAGAACTGACTTGGTTGTTTTGCATTTGATCGCAAATGTTGCGGTTAGCAAGAGTCACCACCGACTTTTCTTTTATCCAAAAGGAAAGGTTGAAAAGAATAGGAAAGACCTTTGAGATGTTTTCTTGAGTTTGGGGGGTAGATTATGAAAAGGGAAGGTATTATCACCCTTTTCATCCGTAGTTATCTACGGGCTCTTAGTTGCTTGCTAGATCACTTGCTTTTATTTGAAAATGTGCTTTGTGTGGTTTTTGAAAGTTTATTTTGAAAAGGCGCCATCGTTTAGGAAAACTTTGTAATGATTATTGTTTGTAAGAATGTATAAAAAGTGTTAATCTTTTGAAAATGTTTTCAAGTTTGAAATATGTTTTTGAAAGTGTTGGTGTTTGTTCTGAAAATAGAAAGGATGTTTTTAGTTTGAAAATGAGCAAGCAACTAGGAACATTCTACCTACTAAAAAGTCTTTCTTGTTTATTTCCTCTTTCCTTTGACATTGTTATCTTACCATTAATTTGTTAAGAAACCCTATCTTTGGATGTTAAAGGGAAGGGAATGGGTCATCGTATAGCCATGATTAGCAATGTTGTAAGATATCTTATCATTTTCTTTTAAGGGACTAAGATCATTTTTGAAAGGCAACTTTGATAGCATCGTTGAGGGACTATGATCTTGTATTTTTTATTACTTTTGTTAAGATACCCCACATGCATAATATGACCATTTATTTCTCAAGGCAACAAGTGGTTTTACCCTAAGGGTGTAAGTGTGCAAGTGTATTGATTTACATGCATTATTTTGTCTTGAATTAGGGTTTTCTAAGCATTGATTTTAATCTTTCCATACAAACCCTAATTTACTAGCATTTGTATATAAAGCATTAAATTGCAGAAAAAATACTAAGCTATTACATCATTTGGGGAGGGGGTGTACAAATTTACAAATGGGGAAATTGCAAGAAAATTAAATCTAAATAATTATTACAACCATATTGAATATTGTACAAAATTGAAAAATAAAATTGCAAGAATGTAAATGAGAAAAGAAATGATTTTGTTTGTTTTTTATAAAAGGGTTTATTCTTAAAAGGGTCAAAATGATGTAATTGAAACCTTGAGATCATGTCTCAAACCAATTAACCATTTTCTAGGTCAAAAATCAGAAATTGCCCTTTCTCAATCAAAATCCTAAATTTGACCATTTTGCCCTTTTAATGATCTGATCAAATTTCTTGAGGAATTATGGTCCAAACTTGATAAAATGATATATAGGAGTTCACAATGTTGATATGGATAAAAAATTATGAAGTTTGACTGTAAATTGACCCCAGATGACTTTTTTCCCAATATAGTTGATTTTTAGGTCAACTGATCAATTGATTGAGCAAAAATGTGATCCAGGACTTGAAACTTGGCATGAGCAATATTGAGGGTCCATCATGATCCATGAAAGTCATATGAGGCATTAAAAGTTCAATTATCCTTATGCAATCTCAAACCCTAATTTTCAGTCATCAAAGCTTGAGGAGGTGTCTTGAGCTGATCAACCCTTGAGCACTCTTGAACCAAAGGAGATCTTGTGAGAAAATACTTGATAAATGAGAAGGCAAATTTTGGGGTACAACAATTATTAAAAGACTATGAAGCTTTTATAGATAAGAAATTCCAAAAAAATTGAAATGAAAACATTAGCAACCTAGCCTTTAATTAGAAAGTAGAAGGCTTCATACTTCAACTTCTTAGTTCAAAAGCCAATTCAAATTGTCATCATCTGACTCAGAGTCACTTGAATCACTTGATTCCATTAGCTCTACAACGATAACTTCTATCTTTCTTATCTTCTCAGGATTTAAATTTGTGATCATAATCTTCTTAGTTCCTAATGTTCCACCAAAAGGTTCAACTATGACGATGTTATTCCTAACAAATCCATCTTCCTTGGCCTTATTTACCGAAGACTCCATTATATCTCCAACATCCTTATGAACATCAATTTCTTTTACATGTAAGCTCTCACTTGATTATTTAGACGAATATTCAGAATATTGATGCATGTTGTGAGGATGATCTTGAAGGATCAGAGAGAGAGATATGTAATATGAAAGTAGGAAAAGACAAGATTTCCATTTTTCCTGCTTGTAACGACAATCCAGCTAAACCACACTTGAGATATCAAAATAGTCCACCTTATTTTTCGTGCCAAAGTGGTCTTAGGGGAGAGAAACGATTTTTCTATTTAGGCACACCTCCCTAACATTGATTTCTATAGAACCTTATAGGAGAAAATACCAAGGGCACACCTCAATTCTTCAAAATGACTTGTATACAAACTTTTAGTGAAAATGTCCCAAACACATGTCATGACATCTCGTACCATGTTATACTCCTTCAACATTTTCTATATCCAGAGTAATTTCCAACCACTGCTCCTTGTCGCAATGTATCCAGCTTCATCAGAAGATAAGGTCGCACTAATTTGTTCCATGTTGACCCAATATATTATAATGATAGAAGGTCACTTTGATTGTGACAACCTTTTTGTTATCTGCCATTTTCTGTATGATGAACACTATGTCCAAGACATTTTCTTCATCATATGTCACTAATTTAAGTATTCTAGTTTCTTCATAGTTACCAATGACATCTTGCTCATCCTTCCTCTGAGTTGGGAACTCCGTTTCCACTATGTCACTCAAGATGTCTGGCACATCAGTAGATATCTTCCTTGCCCTCTTTGAACACTTGGTAACTTCACAAGAGTTTAGTGGCACTCCTTATACAAATTAAATCTCGGGAATCATTGATGTAGTCCTTCATTTTATTAACTTGAAAATTAAGAGAGTATATAACATCTTCTACCATGTTCAATTCATTATTAATCAACAATTGTTGAACAAAATCCTCTGTCATCCTAATGAGGAAAGCCCTTTTCACATTCATACATGATAGTATTGGAATCAATTTGAGGACTTCAATATGGGAAATAGGATATAGAAACTTATATTTCATTATCATACATTCTATTGGTTCTTGATTCAACACTTTCATTATTATGCATAGTCATATCATTTATAGATTGTATGTTCTTCGAAATCAATCTATTCTTATTTCCATTTATAGTAAAAATTCTTCCATTCACACTTTCACCTAGTGTCTTCACATCTTCAAATGCATGATTATGGTTATTAACAACACCACCATCAACTATAGCAATATCAACCTTCACATCTTCAAGGTCATGATCACCATTCTCTTTATGCACTTAATACTATGTCAACATGTCAGACAAGATGTCTACCATATCATTATCACCATCTGGATTCCTCAAAATTGTTTTCTGGGAATCTTCACCAGAAGACATTAGAGTGTCATAATAACTTTTTATAATTCCACTAGTAGCTAGATCCGACTTAACATCAAGTGGAATATTATGGAGAGAAATATCATATAGATACATCTTGTAGCTAGACTTCAATACATAAGTTTTAGCTTCACCAAACAATATATCATGTTTTAGGTTAATCACACCTCCAAACTTGTGAGAAGACAATTTAATAGGACAAATTATGCCATAACCACTCTTCTTCTCTAGCTTCTTCTTCTGAGCCGTTATAGGTTGTTCAAAATTTAGAGGACCTCTAGCTTACCTTTAATGACACACTCCTCATAAGATAATTTAGAATCTTGAGTAAGATGTTGAGGCATCTTATCTCACGTCTTGGTTAGTCTTTCCTTTTTCTAAGTATTTTATTTATCAATATTGAGACCTTGTAAACCCTTGATGTCTTCATAAGAACTTATTTATCCTTATTGCTTACATCACCTTTGGAATTTTAGAAGTTCATATTCCTCCTTTGGTCAGAAGGACAATTTATGTTGTTCACATTTGTCGTTGAACCTTTCCTCGGTAGAACCTCCTCTCGACTAGGATTGTTCAAATTTCTTAAGCCCTTGATTTTTTCCTTTACTCTATATCCAAGAGTGATGTGAAAAGTCTTTTCTCTAGACATGTCAGTGGTACCTCCATTATTATAATATCGGCCTTCACTTGAGGAACCTATGTGCACTATATGAGCTATAAATCAAGTTGAAGTAGCATTTTGTTTCCACTTCTTCTTGTATCCTCTAATCTTTATCTTTATTAGACTATCTTGTTGAGGATATCCATTGAGTTTGTAGCAATAAGGTTGTATGTGTCCAATTTTACAACAATGGTGACATTTCAGAGGCAATTTCTTATTACTATTGTGAAGAGGTGAAACATGTTGTACACGATGATGTGACATGTGGTCCAACCTCAAAACCTCAGTCTTTTTTTCTTCAGGTAGAACAACCTTCTCCGAGGAAATATATATCTCTTTCATGCTCATCCCAAAAGCTATTCTCTTTATATCTCTAGACAACTCTCTAAAATCTATCATTATATCATGTATATTTGAACTATTTTTCAAATTACTTTCATATTGTATAAAGTTTCCTAGTTTGGAGTTTAATAAAGAAACCTCTTTTTCTACACATGTGATGTTGGATGCAAGATTCTCTATTTCATTCTGAAGAACACCTATGGTTTTCTTCTGGTTCTCTATTATTAAGCACGCTTCTTCCCACTTGGTGTGTAGTAGCCTGACTGATGAATCAAGCTCTTCTTCAGTTATGTCTTCATAACTGAACTCACTTTCATTATCGGAATTAGACCAAGTGATGGATAATCAATTTATCTATTTCTTTAGAAAGGTAGGACGGTCTTCTTTAATGTGTTCAAAGCCTTCACAATCAAAGAACTGAGTACCTTTGCAATAATTTGGTTTTCCTTCACTCATTCCTTTGTTTTGGGAACTGATGTTGGACCTCTTGTCTTAGACATTTATCCTCCACTTTGTGTCCAAATAATTCAAGGAGTTGTTGAACTTTTTACCAAGAAGAGCTATAGCGTATGAAAAGCTCTCTTATTTATCGTCTTGACTTCCTTCCTCCCGACTGTTGAAAACAAAGGCTATACGTTTGTTCTTCTTTTCAGTCCTATCATTTATGGATATCTCAAATGTTTATACGAAACTAATGAGTTCATCAACCTTAATATTTCCCAGGTTATGAGCTTCTTCAATAGCAGTCACTTTCATATCAAACCTCTTAGGAAATGATATGAGAATTTGTCGGTCAAGATTTTCTTTATTCGTCTTTTCACCTTAGGAAAAAGAGGTGTTGGAAATTTCATGTAGCCTGATGTGGAATTCACAGATATATTCGTCTTCATTCATCCTTAGATTCTCAAACTTAGTGGTAATGAGCTGCAACCTTAACATACGAACTCTGAGTGTGCATTTATGTGCAGTTTTGAGAATCTCCCATGCTTCTTTAGCTTGTGAACACGTGTTGATCAACTTTAACATGTTCCTATCTACACCATTGAATATAGAGTTCAAAACCTTGGAGTTTCTAAGAGCTTCATCATCTGTAGCAACAATCCAATCAGTTTCTGGTTTCAAACTGGTTGTACCATCTTCAAAAGTAACCACAATATGTTTCAACCCTTTTACCATAACTTTCCATGCTTTTTATTTATCATTGATTTGAGAAAGACAATCATCATAGACTTCAAATAATCATAATTGGTGTCATAAAAAATAGGTGGTTTGTTGAATGATTCCCGATCTTTCATTATGTCTTTGAGCAAAATTCATCTTCTCTGGAGCTCACCCAATAGGCCAGGGTGCCTTCTCTGATGCCAAATTTAAATTTTTTTCCCTAAGGAACACATATCAAATGCAATGTCCCGAGAACTAGTTCGATAAGTTAAACCAAAATCACCATAATTAACACAGTCTAAATTTCACAAAATGATGTAATAGAAATGCAATAAATAACACAACCAATTGGTAACCCAGTTTGATGGAAACAACACCTACATCTGGAGAAGGTTGAATTCCAACCCAAGAAAGGAAATTCACTATTAGTAATTTAGTACACTTAGTCTTACAAGCAACAATAAAACTTATGTTGTTCAATGCCTCTTCCAACATTATCCTTTGACTTTATATTTAGGACTCCTCCTAAATATGAGACACCCTCTCACTTTCTTTTCTCTCAAACTCTAACCCCTTAGTATTTTTAATCACTAAATCCTAGTGATCAACTTCAGTCAATAATATAAATGATGTTAAATTTACAACTCAACTAGGAAAACCTACCATTATACTAAGTTACTGAAACATAGTGTGGTGTACATAAAATAACAAAGATTTTTGGTCATGTACTCAGTTATAACAATTGAATTCTCGGCCTGAAGTCGAGGAATTTTTTGGTCACTTGTACTTATAAAAAATGTAACAATTGTGCAGAGACTTTAGCTAACTTAGATTTAACATTTAGACTTACACTTGGGGGATGCTATCCATACCAATATATCTAAGGATTTCAATAGCAATTTTCTAGTACTATCTAGTTTTAAGGTTTTAAACTCTTGAGGTTTTGACCTAATCCCCTCATTTTCAAACCTTTTTCCTTTTCTTTTATACCATGGGCTAATAATTGCCCTCCTTTGTTTAGAAAAGAATATTCATGCCAAAATTTATTTAGCAAAACCATAATAGTTCACAAGAAAGAAAACTATTAAAATCTTAATACTAATCAAATTTATGGTAAAATTAAAATTAAACAATATTGCAAGTTTCTTTCTCAAATCATTTATACATGAACGATTAATAATCTAAATCATTGTATACTAGTGGTTTACCTGTATTCAGAGAGTAAATATCTTTTTTTACCCTATCAAATAATCATTTACACATGAACTAATAATAATCTAAATCATTGTATACTAGTTATTTACCACTATTCAGAGAATAAATATCTTTTTTTACCCCACCAAATAGAAATAAGGAATAACAATATGCAGCCCAAAACAGTGCCACCTTTTGTGGCCCAAAATTGATGAGGTTGACCATCGAAGAGAGCAACGTGAACATTCATGCCAGATAATCCAACTACCACAATACTTGCATTAACTATCATGTTTATTGTGTTGAATATTATCGATACTTGTAGTAGTTGATTTCACTTACCATCCAACATTATGTTCATGTAGTCCTCTGTGGGATTTTGGATCGAACTCTAGTTGGTCGAAGTATTGGATCGAACTCTAGTTGGTCGAAGTACTTGCTGTAGTCGAAGAAGGTTCTAGCATGTATTTGTCGAAGGATGCTTGTCGAATTAGGTTTTAGTGTTTAAACCCTAATTTGTTAAGTTAGCTTGTTTGTTAAGTTAGCTTGTATAATGGGCCTTGAGCCCATTAGTTAGTATGTTAGGTTTTATTATAAATAGCATACTAGTCTCTCATCATTGTCATCACAGCAAATCCTAATTTAGGGTGAGAGGGTTATTTGTTATTCTTGTAAACTTGTAATCTTGTTTTCAAAGAGAAAGTAAAGAATAGCAGTTATAACCAATTCTTGTGTTCTTCTTCTTCCTTGTTCTTTATTCTTCTCCCTAATTCTATACTTTGTTATTGGCATTGAATTCACAACAAATTGGTGCGGTGAGCGTGGAGAAGATGCCTTCGACAAAGTATGAGATCGAAAAGTTCACCGGAGTGAATGATTTCGGTCTATGGCGCTTGAAGATGAAAGCCCTACTGGTTCAGCAGGGTTGTTTGGAAGCGTTGAAGGGAGCGACGGCGATGGACGCTGCGTTAACAGAAAGAGAGAAGACGGCCATGATCGAGAAAGCACACAGCGCAATTTTGTTGAGCCTTGGTGATAAGGTTCTTCGACAGGTATCAAAAGAGACGACGGCATCAGGGTTATGGGTGAAACTCGAAAGTTTGTATATGACCAAATCTCTGGTAAATCGACTCTACCTGAAGCAAGCTTTGTATTCATTCAAGATGACTGAAGACAAAGTGTTGGCTGAGCAGTTGGATATGTTCAACAAGCTGATTCTTGATCTTGAAAACATTGATGTAAAGATTGATGATGAAGATCAAGCGCTGTTATTATTGTGCGCTTTGCCCAGATCACATGCTCACTTCAAAGAAACCCTCTTGTATGGAAGAGAGTCCCTGACCTTTGAAGAAGTTCAATCAGCTTTGTACTCTAAGGATTTGAACGAACGTAAGGAGCATAAACCTTCGACGGTTGGTGAAGGTTTGACTGTTAAAGGAAAATTCGACAAGAAGAAAGGTAAAAATCAGTCGAAGTCTTATAGTGGTGACTCATCTGGTATTAGATGCTATCACTGTAAGAAAGTAGGTCACACAAGAAAGGTGTGCCCTGAACGCCTGAAAGATCATGGAGGTAAGGATAATGGCAACGCAGCTATTGTCCAAGATGATTTCGAATCATCTGATGTTCTTGTGGTTTCAAGCAAAAACTCGTCGAAGGAATGGATTATGGATTCTGGATGCACTTGGCACATGACTCCAAACAAAGACTTGTTCGAGGAATTATGTAATCAAGATGGTGGATCTGTATTGCTGGGAAACAACAAAGCTTGCAAGATTGCAGGCGTTGGATATGTGAGATTCAAGCTCCATGATGAGTCAATAAGATTGTTGACTGAAGTCAGGTATGTACCTGATTTGAAGAGAAATTTGATTTCTCTTGGTGAATTCGACAAGAAAGGATATGTTTTTCAAGGAGAGAAAAGTATCCTGAGAGTCATGAAAGGGTCGAAGGAAGTCTTGAGAGGCGTGAAGAAACAAGGCTTGT